CTGTCATCACACAGCTCCTCTCCTCCTCCTCCAACATTCTGCGAGACATCTTTCCTAACCTGTTACTCCCATCTTGATCTCGGTCTTCCTCTTGGGCGTTTTCCTTTTATTTGCAAACCCTCTTTTTGGATTCTGTCTTCATTCATTCCTAAAGCGGGTCCGTACCAACTCATTCAGTACACGCAGTACTTCACTTCCCGGTGAATCTGTACTTAACTCCGCTCTAAGTTCCTCTTTGCTTAAGTTCGCTATGTGAGAGCGCTGTCAGTACTGAGAATACATAAAGTGGATGATAGGTGTAGGTCGAAGGATAATGTTAATATGAAACTTAAAGAGCTGTAATGTGTGTAACCAGTGGCGGATCTGTGAACACAGCAATGGACAGATAACATAAAATGCTGTGCAATTCCTTGATTAGCTGATAAACAATTCGCTTCTTTCTACCGCGTTGTTTTCCGCTCCTTGTTATCTCTGTTTTTCTTTTTGTCATTCCGTTCTCGGTTTTTCTTTCTGACAATCTATTCTCTCTGGCTGTCGGTGATTCTTCTCTCTCTGGATTTATTTCTTGCATTCTATTCTCTCTTGGATGTCACGTCAACATAACCAGTCTGCCTCCTAACATATGTACACATATCGTCCTTATCAACATATCTGCCACCTAAGCCGTGAGTGCTGACTTATAACACAAATTTATCGATATATTAGTCGGCCGAAATTAATTCACTGGTCGTTTCGATTTTAATCTACATTAGCTGGACGGAATTCCCTGGCAGTTAGAACTTAGTGCAACAGCAGCATATCTCTTACACCGCACCTTATTACATGCGATACCTTCCACTTAGGTTATATCAGAAATCATATTTCAGAGCCTTAGTTAGTTATTGGAGAGGGTGGGTTTCCCCATGCACTTAGACCTGTCTTGGTCCAGTGTGCTTCCCTCTATGATATTCTACCAGTCTCTATATCCTACCGGTACTGGTGCTTACCATCAGTCCCGCCCAGCCAGCGAGATCGGCCTCTACTAGCTGAGTGGTATCTATAATGCTTCCCCCATCTACCAGAGGTATTAGAGACTACTGTTGGGCGGGAAACGTCCGTAATTTTGCTCAGTGGCCTCCTTTGGAGACACGAGGTTCTTTTACGTGCCGTAAAGCTACGACACGGGACCCACGGCTTAAAGTCCCTCCCGGAGGACTTGCTCCCTGAATTTTTCCGCCCTTAAAAATTCGACGACCTACGCCGGGTATTTGAACCCGCGTACTACAAGTCATGAGGTGGGAACATTACCTCTAGACTACGGAGGCCGCTTTTCAGAGCCTCGGTCAGAGAGTCAGTAAACAGGTCACAAATAGAAGTAAAACCGCTGTAATGAACATAATAGGTTTTCCATGTGTATCACTAGGTAGCAGCACAGTCCAGCTTCATGACAGTCTAGGTAGCAGACGCGCATGCGCATGTTTAGAGGATGTATCAGTAGTCGAATTGGCGACGGTGCTTGAAGTGTACTACCGAAGAGCAGCGTTCTGCTGTGCGTGTCGTTTTGTGGGCAAAAGGACTCGATGCAGAGGATATTCATAAAGAAATGTTTCCTGTTTACGGTGGGAAGTGCTTGTCGAGTAAAGCGGTTTACAACTGGGCCGAGAAATTCTCTCAATGACGTTGGAAAGTTGCAGATGATCCCTGACGGATTGCAGAAGTGGCTGAGACAACAGACAACAGACAAAAGACTTCTGTCCTGCGGGTTTCGACGCACTGGTAAAGCGATGGGACAAGTGTATCAATGTTGGTGGAGGATATGAAGAGATTTTTTTCTTCAAAATTTGAATATCACATGTTTTACGTTTCATATCGATTTGTGACCTATTTAGTGACTCTGCCTCTTACTAAAAGCAAACTCTAAGGGAAACAAGACGATAAAAGTCAGATATAGTTGTTTGACGACGGTGCGACACATAATTTTATTACTTCAATTTGATGTTCTTACAGCCATGCTAATGAAAAGTATTATCAGCAAGGGCCTTGCGCCGTGTAGTCGGAACATATTGCCTCCATCTTCAGAATAGAATAGTAAGCCACGCAAACAAGAAGCAAGAACTAGGAAGCTCGTTTTGCTTTCGTGGTTTGTCTTTCGACTCTGAGGATGGAAGCAGTAAATTCCTAAGAAAAATTTCTATAGAACTACACGGCTGAAAACTTCTGCTGGACGAGTTACAGTTTGTTGTCATCAGTAGACGCAACAGAACTCAAAACAGAGGCGTATTTCAAGCTTAGGTCTAATTTCGGTAAAATATAGTATGTACATACATTCAAGGGATGAGAAGCAGAAAGTTACCCTGCGCGCTATATCTAGATTCCTGGTACTCATTTATGTTAGAGGCTGGGTCCACTCCAGGGCCATAGAGCGGCTGGAAGGATTAGGTCAATTGAAAAATCCAATATCCTCATCGGGAATCGAACCCGCGACCTTACGGTTTGTAGCATAGTGGCCCTATAAAGTATATACGTACCTAGAGATGTTCATTGCACCACATAAGTCATCAATAAATATAATGAAAAGCGGAGGCCCCAGAACAGATCACTGAAGAACACTGGAAACTACTTCAAAAGGCGTTAAAATCATTCAAGATTTTGTCTATTTAGAGGCTTCTGACATATCGAAAGTTACTGCACAGAAGCGAGAGAACAGTGGGTTTCAGATGCAACAGCCGCGTTAAGCCACTAATGCATGTACCCCATGCGGACTGAACAACTCCATTCCTCGGCGAATAACACAAAGTTCCTGTCTTATTTGCAGCTAAGGCGATATGTCTCGCGACTGCAGCGCTCAGGTGGCGCCTGCTGTAACTAATGTGCTGCTAGAAATCAAGCAGCAACTGGCAAAGCTTCGGGCGAAAAGAGTGACTGAAGGAAATTGGTCTAGATGTTCATGGGCTCTGTCTACTTCGTTTAAGAACCCTTCCTTTTAGCAAAGTTACACGTATTTAGTATGCCTCGACACGTCGCAACCGTTGCTCCTAACAACGATATACATGTACTTAGGAACGAATCCCGAATCTGCATTACAGTAATATTCTTTGTAACATATACCAGAAATTCCCTAGGCTTTCATATTCATCTGGAGCATCAGCCTATTTCTTAACTAGAACGTCTATTTCTGAACAGCAATCTATGTACTGTAGTTCTGAACTAGAGCTCGTACCTATTTCTGAAATAGAGCTTGCACCTAGTTCCGAACTGGAGCATGTATCAATTTCTGAACTGAAGCGTCTGCCTAGTTCTGCAATGGAACGTATATATAGTTCTGAACTAGAGCTTATAACTATAACTGAACTGGAGCATTACCAAGTTCTAACTGGTGCGTGTGCCTAATTCTGAACTGGCGCATCTGCCTAGTTCTGAACTGGAACAGCTGCTTAGTTCTAAGCTGGAAGGCCTGCTTAGTTCTGAACTGAAGCGTTTTCCTAATTCTGACTTGAAGTGTCTGCCTAACTGAATGGTCTTCCTAGTTCTGAACTGGAACGCCTACCTAATTCTGAACTGCAACAGCTGCTTAGTTCTGAGGTGGAACGCCTGCGTAGCTCTGAACTTGAGCGCCTGCATTTTTCTGAACTGCAACGTTTGCCTGATTCTGAACTGAAGATTCAGCCTGGCATTTCTACGCGATTTTCTCTCTCTGTTACGTATATTCGTGTACACCTCAGATGACGAGATACGTGTAAAGGTAGGGCAAACAGACAGTGGGAGTTGCTGGCGTCTTTGCGCCATTTGTGTCAACTGGAATGCTGACTGTGGGCAGGCAGCATGTTGCTGGAGATGTATCGCCCCTCGAGTGAAGCAGAAAGGGCGATGACTTGCCCGCCACTTCACAGGCGGGACACCATTTCGTTCTTGCTTCAGAGGGACTCCATCTTCTCGGAGTATTTTAGGACTCCATAAAGTGGCGCGCAGAATTACTGGATTTTGGGACTTTCCCCCATCGTCCGGAATTATAGGAAACAGAAAATACGACGTTTCGGAAACTGTATCTTTTTCCGTCTTCAGGTGAGGAAGGAAGACCTAGCGTTACCGCTATGCTAACCTGCTAGATAAGATTTAATTATGTCCACGTTATCGGTTCGATCTGTTCCTAACGAGAAGAGCATGGTTGTTAATTAAGTTGGAAGAAGCGATGCTTCGCGCTCCAGATGCAATAACTGTTGAACAATGGAACTGGCACTTGCCACGTCATGCTGCGGGTTACCATGGCAGCAGGGGTTCGCATACTGACTTCTGTTCTCTGCCAAGTGCGTGTGAAGCATCTCATTACGCCAGCAGACAATGCCAATGACACTTCTCAGAGACAATCATTACAAACGGCATCATTACTGTAACGTTTCAGTTAAGAAAGGAGAAAGTTACATACAAGGGGCTTCATAATATTTTTCAGAGTTAAATAACATGGGCGTTGCCTGGATCTTTTCCAAGGGGGTACAGCCACTTTTCCGAGGAAGGGCAATATAATTTGCTTAGGCCCAGCTGAACTGTCTAATACTACTTTCACTGATCGCTCAATGGTATTCAGAATAGAAGTGAATTAAACACGAGAAGTTCTGGGATGAACTAATTGCCCACTTTTATTTGATACGACACGGACCGCATAGAAAACGAAAAGAAAAGGCCAGAAGTGGCCGCAGTACAAGGGACTGATAACAGGGCGCGTTAAAAACGCTAATAATCCCCGCCATGAGAACAACAAAATTGTCCCAACATTCTCTTCAGTTCAGTAGGTTAAATGGATATGAAATACACGAGTGTGAAGTCCCTCAAAACAGGCTTTCATTTCAGGCGCACGTAACTATCCCTGTGTGGGACCTGTGGTTCTCGTATGGGTGAGCAATAAGATTCTGGTTTGTGGGACTACCCTGAAGCCGGAAGCATAGTAAAAACCTAACAGAATAGACGGCATCATATCCCACAAGTGACCGCAGTCAAAATGTAACCACATTTCTTTTCTTCTGCAGCCTCAGAATCTTGTGATGATGGCCGACTTTCCGGACTGTGACGTCAAGCTCTGCGATTTCGAGATATCGAGAGTAATTCTCGAGGGAATTGAGATACGTGAGATATTAGGAACACCAGATTATGTGGGTAAGTAGAATGTCTATAAGCAAAACTGATTCATTGGATTTAGAATGGTGACAAAATTCTTCAAACCTCTGGATAGAAAAATATATAACTAACTCCATGGAGATGAGCCCTTCTAAAAAAGCCGCCAGTCGCTCAGCTACTCAAGAACTTCCTAACAGTGTACAGAACCCGATGGTTCATTGCCGTGTTCACAAGAGCCCTCCACTGGCCCCTATCCTCAGCCAGATCAATCCACTCCATAACATATCTAAGATCAATTTTATTATTATCCATCCACCTATGTCTTGTTCTTCCTAGTGGTCTCTTTCCTTCTGGTTTTCCCACCAAAATTCTATATGCGTTCCACTTCTACCCTATTCGTGCTACATGCCATGACCACCTCATCCTCCTTCGCTTCATCATTCTAATTATACTTGGAGAACAGTACAAGTTATGAAGCTTCTCATTATGCAGTTTTCTCCAGACTCCTGTCAGTTCATCTCTCTTCGGTCCAAATATTCTCCTGAATATCCTGTTCTCAAACACCCTCAGTCTATGTTCCTCCCCTAATACCAGAGACACACACACCCATACAGAACCACAAACAAAATTATAGTTCTGTATATTCTAATTTTTGTTTTTAGAGAGAAGACAAAAGGTTCTGGACTGAATGGAAGCAAGCATTACCCGAGTTCAATCTCCTCTTAATTTCTCACTGAAGGTCGCAATGCAAGGGCTGATAATTGTGGTCCACCCCATCGATGAATAAATGTATTGTCCTCTTATAGTTGTAATTTTTAAATAAAGGCCCTACAGTGACTTATTTAATCCATTTTCATCATCACCACTTATATCATTCAATTTTCCATTTATGTGTTCTAAGTTCTTTTGTCTTTTAGGGCGATATTTTGTTTCATTAATCGGGATTATCGCTTAATCCGGATGACTTCTCCCTTCAGTTACTCCGGATTAGCGAGGATTTACTGCATTTTTAATAATTTAAGTGAAAAGAATTATGTTGCGTGAGGTAATTTATTAATTTTATAATAAAAACAATACAATTATAGCGCAGTAGGGGTTGTAATATTGAGAAGATGGCGTGAACCTTGAGCCCTAGGAACCTAACTCTATATATCCAATGTTATAACGAACTCGACTTACGACCCGTTTGCGTTAACGCGTTAAGTCATAATTCCATGATACGATTGTACTCATCCGCCGACGGGAAGTTTAGACTTAATTTACACAGGATTTTGTTCCATGAGGTTGCCTACACAAGGCTTCACGTTTAAGTGTATAATGCATACTTTTACAATCCTGATAAATTGTTCTGTTACATGACACATGCCATTTTCTGTAGCACGACACGTCTGACATATTGAGATCGAACTTGGCCAAAGAAAGGAATTTTCCCATTACAAAACAGTACAAAGTTAATGTACGTGGGTGTCTATTGCATATAGGGCAAGTCGAGATCCTTTCTGCAGTGACATATTCACTAAGGAACATATCAGTACTTCCCACATGAACGGTTTGCATTCGAAATGGTTGTCAATTAAAACAATAGACAGGAGTAGCCTTGTATCACTCTGATTTACTTGACAAACTTCATGCTAAAGAGCGCCATTCACATCTGAGAAACGTCTGTATTACCTTGAGAAATGTCTCTCCTTCAATCTACATGAATACCCAGAAGAGTGAAAGTAGAAACGTTCCTCTGTAAGATTTGAGGTTTTCACGGCGGTGACTACGAAGCATGCCGTCTTGTGGGATGTGGCGCCGTGTAGATATTGTGTGAGCCGACGTTCTGCAGCCACCTGCTCAAGCTGGTTCCTCCCTCGCAGATTGTTCTACCCTGAAAATGAAGGCAATGCGTTCCTCCGAAATATTTCTAACATTATGTAACATGTCAGCGTATTGTCAGGCAACGGCTCGATAAACACGCAGAGATACGCGCACGCAACAATAGGACGAAAGTTTATAGCTCGTTTCCTAGGCAACAGTCAGCGCGGAACGGAAAAAGACCTACCGTAAACACATATCACGTGATCGCTATCCAGCCAGTCTATTTGCGCGTCGGTCGGATCTACAGAAAACACGGCTTCCCTTATTGTTGCGTGTTGGACCGTGTTTACATAGCCCTTGCCTGGCAACGCATTCATCAGATCTGTTACAATATCTGTTGTTAATCTTTCCTTATCTTTTTCGCTTTTGTTAACGTACATGAACCATGTACTAATATTAATTACAGGACTTCTCTATAAGAAAACGAACTACAGAGTTGTTCTAAGTTCGGCTATTTCTTAAGAGCGGCTCTGGGAGCAGACATAACGGTCTTATCAGGTCTATTCGTTCCTGCTAGAATATGGAAGAATAAAAACTGTGATATTTTCTAATAAGGAAGCAGCAGTTTCCTAACAACATTCTAAACACGTAAGACATTTGAGCGCACTATTGTTTCAGCATCAGAATAAGTCAAGCAAGGAAAAAATTACATGTCACATACAGAACAATTTTATATGCAGTGCGCATGCCCGCTACCTGATATAGAATAACGATTATGTCTCATTGCGGAAATGTTTAAAGCCTAACTTGCTTTGTGTAATGCTTAGACAAGNAGTTCGATTCCCGATGAGGTCGTTTGATTTTTCAATTGATCTAATCCCTCCAGCCATGATGCCGACTCAGCCTCTAACAGAAATGAGTACCAGGAATCTTTCTGGAGTAAAATGAGGCCGGCGCATGAGGCTGACAACCTCACCGTCTTCCGTGAGCCGATTGTCTAGAAAAATGTAGGAGCCTCAATGTCTCACAACTTAATATGGCTCCTATGGCCTATGACAGGGATAACGTCACCTTTTTGTATATCTCTATTTTTGTACAGAACTATAAGGTTTATTTTGGACTCTATCCATTGTCTGGTATATATGACAAAAAACCACAACGTTTCGGAGACTGGATCTGTCTCTCCGTTCTCAGATGGATGGGGCACGATACACCTACTAGCTCTTTCTAACGGGCCCAACTGAGTAGGTCTATCTTGCCCCATCCACCTGAGGACGGAGACAGATCCAGTCTCCGAAACGTTGTGGTTTTTATGTCTTCTATATACCAGACAGTTCTGTACAGTATACACCATCGTCAGACTCCTTTCAAGTCTATCAATCTCAAATTAATCATTAAGAAAGCATCGTATTAATACTTACCAATGTTCCCTCAAAATCCTTAACAAAATCTTGTAGTCGTCGGTATCAGAGGTTCCTAACTATCTTTAACAATGCTCCGTAGACAACGCTGGCAATTCCACACAAACATCCTTAACAAAAGTTTGAAATAATCCTTGTTCCATAATCATCCTTAACAATACTTCACACTTACACATAAATGTGTTCTTTGTTTCAGCACCAGAAATTCTGCACTACGAACCAATAACACTGAAGGCAGACATGTGGTACGTTCCAACAGTGGTTTACTTGAAGTAAACTTTCAGATATACGTTGTACAGTACGGTGTATTGCATATTGCATATTAACCATCTTGGGCACAGTGACAAATACTCGTATGTGTATTACATGCTTTAACTATCAAACCCCTGAATTCTGCCCCACAAGCTGTGTTCGTGTATTTCGTAAGATTCTCATAATAAAGACCTATTACTTCCTTAAATCGCTACTCGTAATACAGACAGGGTGTCTCAAAAGTTATCTCACGCAGGACTCTTAAATGCCTTATACAGATGCGAAGGCGTCTAAACAATTCCTGAATCAAGTTAATATTACCCCACCTTCTGCGCCTAGGTCTATCAAGCAGTCTCTCATGTTCGAGCTTTTCGATCACAATGCAGTTCTCCTCTGTGCGTGCTACATACGCCTCCCATCTACTGAAAACTATGTCTACTAACTATGAAGATCCTAATTATGCAATTTTGCTAATCTCTTGTAACTTTCTCTTCGCTACAACTAATTATTCTCCTCAGATAAAGTTGTCCGAACACGTATGGGGGAATGGAGGCGTAAATACACGTGTTCTTAGCCCCAGCACTAGATGCAAGTGAGTGAGAAGTCTTACGCCCCGGAAACTTTACTCCCGGGGAAAGAGCCCCGGTCTCTCTGGACAGGAGGTTGGGTGGATACCAGAGCCGGTCTGGACGCTGTAGAGAAAAGAAAAGCTTACCTCTGTCGGGAATCGAACCCCGACTTCTCGGTCGTCTAGCCCCCAGATGACCGCTATACCGAATGATCTATCTCAGCTCTCGCTTATTCCAGAATACCCTCTGATATTTTAATAATTTAACTTCATATTTTTATATTTTATCCCTATTTGTTTAGTACCGGTCTAGAAAACCGAGATTAACGGCCGTGGGGATCCGTTGTACTGACCACGTGACACCCTCTATCCGCTAAAGTTGGCACTAACTTCGTCGACAAGCGGCGGTTGCTCGGTCGGTATAATTAGCTTGTGGACTATAGGCCACGGAGTTTCTTTATTTTTGAAGAAACAGTCTTCTGAGATGTGGCGATAACCGACGTTTCGGAGGAACGTATCGCCTCCATCTTCAGGGTAGAAGGAAAACTAAGAAAATTCGCAAGCGAAGAGACAGTGAGAACAGGTGCAAGCAGACCAATGTTTTTTTTTCCAAACGTTAGTCTGCTTGCACCTTTTCTCACTCTCTCTTCGCTTGCGGATTTTCTTTTTCCTTCTACCCTGAAGGCGATATGTTCCTCCGAAACGTCGGTTAACACTTCTGCACGGTGTAACATCCCAGAAGACTGCTTTCTTCGTAGTCACCGCCGTGAAAACCTCAAATCTTGTTTGTTTTTGTTTATGTTTAGTAAAAATGTGATAATTCGTTCCTTCTTTGTCGTCTCCTTATTTTCCGTTTGGCTTTTCTTATTCTTTTAATATTTCTTACAAATGACGACACAGAGATGTCGCCAGTGTAGCAAGTGTTCGATTCACAGGTCCCTGGGGGTGACGACGTATGTCCTACTGACGGGGTTTTCCCCCTTTGGTGGGGAGACAGACCAGGAGACATTCTGCAACATATCACGGGCAGAGGTGGACTTCCCCGAGGAACTGTTCGAGGATGTGTCTGAGGAGGCGCGGGATTTCATCCGCTGCTTGCTCGTGAGAGACCCAGGGTAAGTACGGTGTCACAGCTCAGGTGTGTCAGCGCCACTGTTTCCAGTCGCGGCACCAAATGCATCATCAGTGCGCTCTTAGCGAGCTCGCAGTTCTCACAGCCTGTGTTACTATCAGTGCGCTCTTAGCGAGTTCGCAGTATCAGTCTGTGTTACTATCAGCCTGTCGTTACTACACAGTTCCCATTATTTCAGGTTCATCACTCTTTCAATTATTATTGGACGATCGTGATATCGCACTTCCCTTTGTTTTAGAATTATCACAATGTGAGATAGAGTCGGAAAAGTTCATTACTAGGCAACGGCTCGGAAAACATTCCCGCGGAAGCGAACGCGAGAAATACAACAGCGGTGCTTTCTGCTTAATGAGGAGCTTCAGAAATGTACTGTTCGCCAAGTATAATTAGAATGATCAAGTCAAAAAAGATGAGAGGGGCAGGACATGTAGCATGAATGGGGGAGAAGAGGAATGCATATGAGATATCTTGGTGATATCTTAAGAGAGATAGGATGGAAGGCTCTTGTGAACACGGTTATGAACCTTCGCGTTCTATACATTGCTGGGAAGGGCTCAGCTCCATGAAGATAGTTCATAATACTTGGCGAGAAATGCAAATTATAATGCTCTTCAGTACTCATACTTCTGCAGCCTCCTCTTGCTCTCCCCCCCCCAGGTCACCACACTCTGTTCAAAACACTCGTGGCTTTGAGGTTATCACGGCGGTGACTATGAAAAGTACGGTTTTCTGAGACGTGACGTGGTGTAGTGTAGTTCGGTTAAAGCCTGACTTTTCAGACTGAAGGTACTGCTTGCCACTTGCTTCTGATATCTTAATCGGCTTACACATCGACTCTGAAGACGGAGGCGATATCTTCCTGCGAAACGTCGGAATCTCTCCGAACTATAAAGCGTTAAAACCCAGAAAACTGTGCCCTTCACTCTCAATCTGTGTTTCTGCCTTCATAAGAGAGGCGAAATAACGTCATATTTCCTCAAATCAATAATAATGTAAATTATGATGGAGTTAAGAATGAGTGGACGTTTACCTCCACATCCCTCTACGCCTTCGTAGACAACTTCATTTCAAATCACAATCCGCATGCCTTCAAATGCATACAGGGCGTTAGGTTACTTATAATTAAACACGGTCTTGGAGTTCCTGTGGAAGACATGGCATTAATTATTCTTATTTCTGTCATTATATTCAGCATGGGAATCACAAGCCTCGTATAAGGACGCGATAACTGGATTATAATGTCGTACATGGCACATGAAGGCGTTGTGTATGAAGTTAATTAACACAGGAACTACAAGAACATTTCTATATAAAACTGACGAGAGCTGCATTCGTAAACTGTCGTGTACTTGAATAAGCTGAAGTTCATTCCGTTCTTGGGTTGTTATACCGCGTGGATGTGGGCGATGCTGTCGACGTTTCGGAGACGCATACTTCCTCTATTTTCAGGGTCAAAGTGTGTAAAGAAGACGAGTTTCTGTGTACATAAAGGTCACAAAACAAAAACAAACTCCGTGGCTAGTAATCCACAAGCGAACTATACCGACCGAGCGACCGCCGCTTGTCGGCGAAGTTAGTGCCAACTTTTACTGATAGAGGGTGTCGCTTGGTCAGCGCAACGAATCCCCACGGCCGTTAACTTCGGTTTTCTAGACCGGAGCAGCTCTTTCCTTGAAATGACTCCTCAGTTATCCTCACAAGGTTGAGTGGACCCCTTTCCAGAACAACAACTTCTCAGAAAATCTGGCAGCGCCATGAATTGAACTCGGGACCTCTGGATCTGTAACCAGGAACTCTGATCACTAGACCACAGATGCGGTCAGCCCGTTGATACATTGATTTTAAACAAATATATTTGGCCTATTCATTATCTGCTTACGTACCAAATTATCTTCTTATTAATATATTGCTGCTGACCAGGAATTATAGAGAGAAAGAGTTTAGTGGATTTCAAACAAACCTGAAGGATAAGGGGATCTAAACTCTACGTCGCCAGACTCTCCGTTGTTCTGAAAATTGAAGATTACTGTTTTTTTAAGGAATGTCGTATATGTAACAGTAACGTTGTCCTTGTGCTTAAGTAAGTAAAAACACACTTTTCCTGACCTCGACATTAACTGGAGATGAGTAGTCAGCTTTACGCCCCGGCCGCTATACCCCCGTGGAAAGAACCCCTGTACCCATTGGATAGGAGGCTGGGTGGACCCCAGAGCCGGTCTGGATGACATGGAGAAGTGACAATACTTGTCCCCACCGGGACTTGAACTCCGACCTTTGTCTTCCAGCCCCGTAGCCAGTCTCTATACCAACTGCGCTATCCCGGCTCTTCAAGGAATGTCGTATAGTCTGGTAAATTCGGAGAAACCTGCCGATTCCATCTTCAGGACAGATGAGTACGCTTAATAATCACCGTCGTCAGACCGTCAAATCTCTAAGAATTTATTATAATCAACGAGAAACAGGGCTGCAAATAATCAGATTTGAGGTTCTTACAGCGGTCACTTTCAACAGTACTTTCTACTGGAACGTGACGCCGTATAGTCTGGTAGAATTTTAAGGACGTTTCGGAGAGATATATTGCCTTCATATTCAGGGTCGAAGAGCAAATCAAGCAGTCAACAACTGACAACCGCCCAATATAAAATTATATATTAATTAATTATTACGTTTTCCTAATGCTAGTGGGGCGGGACTAAGTCCCTTGTGCTGCGGCCACTTCTGGCGTATTGTACCAGCCCCAGATGATAGGTGAGGGTCATTGTGGAGCAGTTGGTGGAATGAAGATTGGCAGGGGAAACCGCAGTACTCGGAGAAAACCTTCCCCACCACCACTTTGTCCACCACAAATCCTACTTGACCAGACCCGGGTTCGAACCCGGGCCGCCGCAGTGGGAACCCAGCGACTAACCGTTTCAGCTATGGCGCGGCCCAATTATTACATAAATCAAATTTATATAAGGGCCTCCAACCCCAAATAAAGACATCAGTCCTGAAAATAGCAACTGCGATATTTGCCGAAACGGTTGTACACATTCAACATTCTATGCGGCGTGTTCCGAATGCTGAAGTGATACGTCACGATGCAGAAACTTCATGTTCATGTCAGTGTCTTCAAAATAACTGCAATTGCGAGGCTAGGATATAAAAAAACACTCAAGACTGAGCCCCGGAACTAAAAAAAGCTCCCAAGGCGGCGCCACAACATTCAAAAAGAACTAGCACCCTGCCCCGAACCCTCGCCCAGACCGACCAGAGCGCACTTTTTAAAATTGTTATTCACAGCGTGCAATGGAATTCGTGAAGTCCGTGTTACCACTTCCCAAAGTCAAAGTCATGCTTACGTGATGGAGTGCGTTATCTGGGTAGATGACACGAAAACATGATTCACTCACTCATCACTCATGGAGCTGAGCCCTTCTTGAGAATCCGCCAATTGTGCAGCTACTCAACAACTTCCCAGCATTTTATGGAACCAGGAGGTTCATTACCGTGTTCACAACAGCCATCCACTGGTCCCTATCCTGTGCCAGATCAATCCAATTCATACCATCCCATCCTATATCTCTAAGACACTTTTAATATTATCCACCAACCTATGTCTTGCTCTTCCCAGCAATCTCTTTCTTTCTGGCTTTCCCACCTCTTTGCTCCTATTCGTGCTACTTGCCCTGCCCATCTCTTAAAGTGTGCACTACAGTGTAAATGTATATGGTGAAACCTCATTAATTCGGACACCATTCTTTTTTTTTTTTGCGCATTACGACCCTGATGATCGCAATGCCACGTGTAGCGCTAGCATAACTGATAGGAGATACACATATATAGGCCTCACGTCAAACCTCAAGGCCGTTCTAGAACTAGAACTGCGAGAGAACAGATACGCAGACAACTAACTTCACGTGAACAGTGCGTATTAGTGTTTCAGTAGCTGACTTTTTAGTGACTTAGCAGCGCACTTTCCGTCTTAAGCGCTAGAAATGAAACAAATTTGGACTCTGTCATCAGTTTGTGGACTCTAACCCATAATGCAACAAATATTGCCTAGTGCTAAGGGAAAGATATAGTAAAGAACAGTACCAAAGAGGAACAGAACCCAAAATAAATTCATTTTTAAACACGGTCTCAATAATACTAAGTAGTTTATTTTATGATATGCAATCTAAGTTTCAAAATAAAGTTGTATTGCCTAAAAAGACAGGTAAAGTACATTCTATAACTTCCACGAACATATTTTCAGTAGTATTTCTATAATTGGAACAAGGGTTCACTCCCAATTAGTCTGAATTAGTGGCCTTACTGAAATTTCTTTGAACCCCAAAATAATGGGTCATATTGTGTTTGCAGAGCACGGCCAAGCGCAAAGGAATGCCTACGCCACAAATGGCTGTCCAAGAAGATCCCTCGCACATCAACACCGCCATCTCTGTTACGTCAAGATTCCTCATTGGTCGCGACAAAGGCGACAACACGAGCGGCGTCACCAAGTGAGGACTCCACGCGCATGTCTCAAAGAAACGCGACGCAGCAACAGAAGAACTTGAGGAAGTATCTGTCGAAATCTCGAGAAGCGTTGTTCGAACGGGTGGTTCAACAACAGCAACAACACCAAAAGAACAACTTGAGGAAGACCACGCTACTTTCCCAATACCACAAGACAAGACGCCTCTGTGAGAGTCAGATGTCTTTAGTGTCAAAGTCCCGGGAGCGACTCCTCATGATGGATCATCAAATGTCTCCGCACATCAGTCGCTCAAGAGAGAAACTGTACGGACTCCGAAGTCTGTCAAAGTCACACGAGGTGCTGGACCTCTGTAAGTCAGCTGCTGCAACTGGAGGTCAGGCTCCACATGGCGTTGGTTTAGGCATACTAAAGACGTTGACAAGAGCAACCACAGCCGATTTGAGCATGATCCCACTTTTGAGGCAAAGACTGATGGGTCATGGTTCATCCACAACGTCCATATCCTCCTCTGTTACTACCGAGCACGACACTGAGGAAACATCAGTTCCTCTTCCTCCATCTGAACACGTGAAGTTCAGCAGGATGTGTTCAGTACCGGTCAGTGCCATCACGTCACCAATCACCCCCTCACCACTACATGAATTATTAGAGAATTCATCACAATCGCCCAACAGCGCCACTAAATCACAAATTATACCTACGCCGACAGAAGACAATTTACGAGAAAAGAATATGGAGCACATCACGCAAATACCAGCACTTCTGAGCCCCAAACTGCTTAAAGAAACAATTAAAAATCAATCAAAATTTGAAATGTTTTCCAGTAGTCCTCTGCCGGTTTGCGAAGCTAATCTCATACCCCATGAAGAACAAAATGAATTTAAAACGCCTGATGGAACGGCATCTTTGAAGACACAAACAGGTGACACATGCACTTGGGAAAAAAACGAGGCAAGAACAGATGCCTTCGACGGTACAGAGATCGATTGCACATCGAGTTATCAAGATGACGGACCAGGTGAAGATATTAAATCCGAAGAAGAACCGAAGTTGAAATACGAAGACGCAGGAAAACACACGGATCTTCCACAGGAAATAGTGCTGAATCAACAAGACATCCCTAACACTTCAGAGTCAACGACAGAAACTAGAGCCGAAAATAAAAACGAAGCTTCGGTGTGTATAAAGAACTGTGAGGACGTGACTGAAGAGGACTCAGAGCCACGATACACTGTAGCACAGCTCGTCTCGGCCTTCAACCGTCACCAGGAAGTCGTAACAAAAACATCTCTGGAAGTAACCATGACAACCAGCGACAAGGGAACTAAAATCCCGCCAATGATCTTCAATACGGGAAACAGCGCTTTCCCTACTGGTCCAAATGCCCTGAGACTTTTCATACCTGACATTCACATAACCAATGAACAACCAAAGAGAAAACAGAAAAGAAAGTACAATTTGGGTTTGAGGTTTCCAAACTCAACCGAACTAAACACCGAAAAAGAAGCTTCCAAGGAAACCACCGAATTATCCAAAGACACTTATCAAACGGAAGACGATGAATCCTTCCAATCACTTGAAAGTTCAAGTTCTCTGGCGACCAGTGACTATGACTCCATTACAAATTTCTCAATGCCGGAAGTTCCTGTCGATAAAGAACAAAATGAGAACTCGAAAGATAAAACTACGACAGAAAAGGAAGAGGCAAGAACACCAGTGCCTTACTTTGATGAAAACGCCGACAGCACTAACAACAATAAACATCATGACGATTCAAGTTTCATTTGTACATTAGTTGTTGAACCTCCATCAGATGACAAAGTTCTGAATACAGAACCTGGTGAATCTCAACACCACGTTAACATCAATAAATTCCGACTGGCTGCAGAAGTGACGCCGAATTATCTAAGATCTGGGTCCCTCTCTAGCGATACGAGTGGATCTAGTTCTATGTCATGGGAAGAACTGACTCCTCCGTGTTCAGCGACTCCTACAGGCAACAAGAATGAGGCTCAACAGTGGCCTCAGAAACAGACCATTCCTCTCAGTTCAGGTCGTCAGGCGTCAAGAAGCAGGTCTCCTAGCGTGAATCGAGAACCATGGGGCAGGATATGTACTGGGACTTACAACAGAGCCCTGGAGAAGATCAACAGTAAACTGAACAAACACGAAAACTCTGCAGTCGCAGATCCCAACAGGAGACCAAACAGGAAGTCACTGACACTGCTAAGTCCACCTGAAGTGATCAGCGCTTCCGAGAAATTCCGGAGGAAGTCAATACCTGTTATCAAACAGCTTTCGTGAAGCAGACTGAGAAGTGTCCAAAATTTAATGTAGAAAATTCATATACGAAAGCGCAGTTTGGATTTTCAAATGCTCTGTGCAAACCTGCGGCTGACCGAAAGTGTTTCAATGAAACAACAGCACTCAGAATTCAAAATGCAATTAGTATTTGGATACCTATGAAAGAGATTAATTCGTGGAATTTCTGAAGTAGTATTTGCATTAATATTGCTTTCTTACAGAAATAATTCTCAATCATCTAAGTCATGGTAGAGATAACATTAAGGAAGATTTAGTAATAATTTATATTGTTTATCTATTATTTTAACGTATCGCACGGATTCGTGAGAAAATAATCAAATTTTATAACTTACAGTGACGAAGTGGTTAAAGAGAGATTAACACAAGTGTGATATTTGACAGGCTCAAAAACTGATAAAATATTTAGGATAATTTTCCATATCTTCTGCAGAATTACATTTTTGTTTGCGTTGTCATCGTTGTTTAAATTTAATTGAATTCGTGTTCACCGCTTTTCCTGACATATATTCATTTAAAAAATATCACCAGAACATATTTCCATCGTATTTCTTAATTAAATAATTTTCACCTAATTTATAGGAAAAAAAAAGGTCCATTTTGTATCAAATTGAACATTCGACGGCAAATGTTGAGGGAAAAAATTCATTTTAAAAGTTTCAATGCAGCTGTTCCTCTACACACAAATCTAAAATTCTTGTAATTTAATGTAGAAATGTACACTAACTTGCACTCTTTATTAAATGTATAGTAATGCAACTAAAACAGTAAAATATGTTGATGGCTGTACCTACTGAATGTACCTGACACCCGAAATAATAAACAGGTACAACTGCGAAGGTACTAATTTAATTGATATTATTGAAATATAAAAAACATATATGTGTTTGTGCTTCCGGTAGTATAGCGCAAGATATTTGCTCACTGATTAAAATTATGATTAACTATAATAAAGTAATTTTTCCATTGAAAATAATGTCAAATTTGTAACAAATGCAGTAAATAAAATGTACTTTAATAAACTAAACACTGAGCCAAATTATATTTTTCAAGATGTTCATTTCAATCACAACAAACTACACAAGTTACCGGCATACTTCACAGAATAATTTTCACATAACTGCTATTACACAATTCTTGCCACCATAGCGCTTTTCGCTAAAATTTGTGACAGTCATGTTCTGTCCTTTGTGAGCGACCAGTCAGCGCAAAGGAGATATACAGAAGCGGGCAGGTGTGTTCACCAGCATCGGGAGCAGAACTGCGGTGCTGCAATTCGCGTCTGTTCATTCCCAGAACCAAAACATCGCTTTTTGAAGTAGAAACGCGCAGATTTGCATATCAAAGCCTGCGAGTTAATGTACAATATTCACAAGGAACTAGAGAGAGAGGCGAAACACAAAGGAGAACCTGTTACTGGAGGGGTCGGGATAGCTCAGTCGGTACAGCGACATGCTGGACGGCCGGATTTCGATTCTCAGAAGGCGCAAATTGTTACTCTTCTCCACAGAGTCCAAACCGCTCTGGGGCCCATCAAGTTCTTATATAATGGGTATCGGGGCTTTTTCCCAGGAGGTAAAGCGACCGGGGCATGAAGCTGACCACTCAACACCACCTAATGCAGAGGTAAATAATGGTGATGTATTACCACACCCCGGTAAATCATCCAGTACTCATCGGGTATCGAACGCGTGAGCATCCGGCTAGTAGCACAGTCCCTCAACGAAATACGCTACCGCTTTTCATATACTGCAAGTCATGTGATCTCTTGCACTGGCAATGCCTTTCATACATTCACTATACAAGTTTTGGGACTTCGCCATGAATCCGCCATAGCTGATAATCTCTGAAAATTACTCTTTATAAAATGGTTATTCATGTCAACAATACCGAGCATGCTGGATTAGCGGTAACGATCTCCACTGTTATCACGAGGTGCTCGGTTCAAATCCCAGTAAAGACAGCCCCTATTCTGAGCTGTTTCATGGTTTTCCTCAGCCCCTATGGGCAACTTCCGGGATGGTACATTTGTTAGGCAAATAGCGCTTCCTTCCAAATCCTTTCCAGTTCATTATTTACCTATTACCATACCATTCGACGCTACAGAATCTGAGATACAGACATACTCGTAAAATGAACCACAAAAAAAAGTCTCACACACTGAAAAAAATTAATGAAGTGGCAACACTTTTGACTCTTTGGGGCTTTCGCAGTTTTCCTTGATCCAACCAAGCAACTGATGCGAATACTGCTGCTTCAACGTAGGCCACGACCACTTCCTTGCTCATCGTGTCCATTGCTAGGCAACGGATTGTTCAAACACGTTTCGCGTCAACGAACACGCTTGAAGGAATCAAAGCGCTTCCCATAATAGATGGTTTCCGAGGCAACGCATTCATAAAACACAGTTATGGAACACTCGGAGGCGGTGATCTCTTTAAGTACCGGGTTCGAATACCTCGACCGTAGTCCTGCGAATCGTAGGAGGCAACAAAAAAGGAAGTCTCGAATCTGAGAGTTTAAAATATTGTCGCCAGTCCCACGGGACTAGGGCCCGAGAATCACTGCGCTGGCGAGTGCCAGCAGCAATTGTAAACGGTAGACCCGTCCTCTCGTCAGAGAGAGCGCCCCACATGAACAAACCCGCAGCTGTCTAACAGTAATAAGTCCTAAGCCCCAGATGGGTGCTTTATTCAATGACACACTGACCGTCGGTCGTAACATAAGACTGAACAAGACTCGACTAGAATTCGAGGGGGTAGAGACCAGTCCGAGATTCAAACAGCAGCGAGAAATTCGTCAGACAGACGGCGTTCAGAAGGAGTTCAATGTGTGAGCTGTTATAATTAACTCTAATTGTAAAGAAGTGCCAATAAACCCAATCATCAAATCCACAACCCATTATTATTCGTCACGCCAACCCCTCTTACGTGACAATATACTTTGTATATAAACAAAGCGCTACCAGACATTGTGGCATTAAAAGCGGGTGATAAAAAGAGAAGCATAAGCCAGTTTAATGGACTCGTCATTACACTGAATTGAAAACATGTTTTTAAGATATCTTTAATAGGTTTAATTCTAAGATCGTTCTGAACATCACAAACGCTGTGAAACCGTGTAAGAAAAAGTGGCCTTCAGCTTTGAAAACAGGAATTGCAACTCTGCGCATGAAGGCAACAAAACTACCGAGCGCATGGACATGTACTTCAAACTCTGCCAACAACACAATCTTGATTTCCTAGTTTCTACTGTATCCAAAATTATATTCTGCAAGGGGAAAACCTGGAAGCCCCACGTCGTCTGGTCCGGTTTTGGGGCCCATTCAGCCTGTCGAATGGGTACCGGGGGCTCTTTCCGTGGGGATAAAACGGCCGACCCGTGAAGCTGAACACTCACCTCCAACTAGTGCCGGCGTCAAGCAAATGTGCCTCTATACATCCACTCCCCCATACGCCTCAATGGCCTAATGGTTAATTAGTTACGCACAAGGACTTTTTTTTTTTTACTTTATGAGGATGAACCCATCCTGTGAAGTCGCCAATAGTCCAGGCACCCATAATTTTCCCAGCATTTTATGGCATACGAGGGTTCATTACCGTGTTCACAAAAGTATTCAAATGGTTCATATCCTCAGCTAGATCACTCCAGCCCATATCCCCCATCGTGAGATCCATTTTAATATTATCCACCCACCGTCTTGGTCTTCCCTTTAATGATCAATACTTGCTTACATTTATCCATTTATCGAGATCTGGGATCAGAGGACCTTAGAGAGAAACCTTCCGTGGCCCTGATTATAAAAGGAACTGCAGTTATATAAACAGTAAATGTAAAGTTGTCCCTGTGCTTACTTAAGCACCATGCCATGATGGCGTGCGGGGAACCCCCACGCATTAACTTCGGCTCTAGTTATGGGTGTGGTCAGCTTCACGCTCAGGCCGCTTTTCTCCTTCTGAGTCATTTTACACACCAGCTTTCAGGTTTGGGCTGGCCTGTACCTGTCCGGATTTTCCACCTGCGGTTTTCTCAGCTCGCCACCACCTTCATGCTGGTTTCTGGCTTGGTTTACTCTTTAACCCTGAAGAGGGATGCGATGTTCGTCCTAACTTCACTACGTAACGAATCAGAGACCGTACTTTCCATAATCACCGGTGTAAAAGGCATCATTCTACCACTGACGCTATATACATGTAGTCTATGATACAGGCGTTGTAAACCAACGCACAAACACCATTAGAGAGACATTCGCTTATGCGACTAAATTTCTCAATAAATAATTTAAAATATATATTCTTTGTATTGAATTGTTTTGGATTTTGTGTTTAAGAAAACAGCAATTATCGCACATTTCGGCAAGAACGAATTTATGACGAATTTCATGACGTTTTATAATTCCATTAGGGCGAAATTCCATATCCAGACGACGAACTGTGCTCCGTGAAAGCAGAGAACCTCCTCACCAGCAACTATTAGCTTTAACAGTACTATCTTCTGGCATACAACTCCGCGCAACCTGGTAAAAATTCGCAGATGTTTCGGAAAAACATTCTGCCCGCACCTTCACAGTCAGATATACAATCAAGTGCTTGCCTCTTACTCGTTTAACAAATCTTCAACCATGACGACGGAAGCATATGTTCGCCCGAAACGTCGGTGAACCAGTCTACATGGTGTTACACCTCAGAAGACAGTACTTTTCAGTCACCGTTGTTAGAACCTCAAACCCAATTATAAACTTTCCATGCGAGATTCTGGACCGTGCAAAGGTTTCCTTAAGCCTGTCTTGCACGCCATTATCTATTTTTATTTCAATAAAAAACTCAATACTGAGACCCAGTGGCGCTACTGAAGGCCTATAATTAGTAAATAAAACACAGGTCTCTTGATGGTATTCATAAAGAATTTAGGAACAACAATTCCAATCTCCGGAGATAATCAAAACGATGTTCCTTTATAAGGAAGCCCCTTGGCTGCCAGTGCGTAATGGAGCCGAATTTGGTCACCTCTGTAAATGTTAAGTCGTAATTTCACACGAATATGGAGTTAAGCTTGCTTTGGGCGCTCGAGACGACGTTTATCTCTGTAGCCACTTCTTTCGTTTTCCAGAGCTGAAAGCTGTACCAATTAAGTGTTTCTACCACAAAGAGCCACGCCGACACTCAACACTCGCATACCTGCCTGCTACTTGCCACGGTGCTTCGGCAACAATTGGCAAGTTGGTTATATAACCGCCTGCTTGGGTGGCCAGAGACTGGCTGCAGCTGACTGCATGACTGATTAACTGGGCGACTGGCTACTTAACTGACTGGCTGATTAGTTCACCAGCTGACTGCATGACTGGTTAACTAACTGGGTGACTGGCTGATCAGTTCACCAGCTGACAGCATGACTGATTAACTAACTGGGTGACTGGCTAATTAACTGATTGGGTCATCACATAACCAGCTGACTGCATGACTGATTAACTGGGTGACTGGCTACTTAATTGATTGGCTGATTAGTTCACCAGCTGACTCCATGACTGATTCACTGGGTGACTGGCTACTTAACTGATTGGCTGATTAGTTCACCAGCTAACTGCATGACTGATTAACTAACTGGGTGACTGCCTACTTAATTGATTGGCTGCTTAGTTCACCAGCTGACTGCATGACTGATTAACTGGAAGACTGGCTACTTATCTGATTGGCCAATTAGTTCACCAGCTGACTGCATGACTAACTGCGCGACTGGCTAAATAACTGATCAGGTGACAGATTACCAGCTGACTTCATGACTGATTAACAAACTAGGCAACAGGCAAAATAGCGGATTAACAGCTGACTTCATGACTAACGGGGTGACTGGCTAAATTACTAATTAGGTGACAGATTACCAGCTGACTTCTTGACTAATTGGGTGACTTGCCAATTATCTGACTGATTGGGTGACCAGCTCACAAGCTGTCAGACATCAGTAACTGATTTTGTGACGGGCTGTCTGGATTATTACGTGACTAACTGGGAAATCAATGGACTACAT